TTTTTCTTTTTAAATATAAGATTTGAAAATGAAACACAAGATTCCTTATAAGATTATCTACCTTTATCAATAAAAAAATCTCTACCGGACAGTCAAATTAAATTTTTATGAGCGTTTGAAATTCAAATTTTTACAACATTGGATACCTATTAACTTGATTTCTCATGTAGCGATTTTCTTATTTTGTTGTAATTCAAAAACGAATAACTATTGATACATGAAAATTTCACTGAATGTTCAGATTAACATTTAGCATTTAGTGTATACTGTATAATAATGAAAATATTTCGACTCTTTTTGAGCTGTTTACGGACATTTTCAGTTTTCAATTTTTTAGTTTTTTTTTTTATAATTGTCAATAAAATTTTATTTGGTGGGCCAAAAAGTCTGAAAATGTAATACAAGCTTTCTTATATATTGTTACAATATCAGTTGAAAAATTTTAAAAATACATAGGCACGATTTTTTTTTATAAGCATTTAAAGTTGGAATTTTGACAAAATTTATCAAAATCTCGAAAATTATCAATCGTTGGAATTAAAAAATTATAAAATGTTCAGTTTTTATAACTAAGAGTTGAAAATTTAAAACAAAGATTCTCTTAAATAATTCATACTGTAACCAAAAAATCTAAAAAATATATAAACACACTTATTTTTTACAGACATTTTAATTTCATATTTAGACAAAATTTCATATTTAAACCAAGAATTACGATTTTAGTTATTTTGTTGTGATTGTATAATATTATTCGTGGGTACTTGAAATTTCTAAAGTAATCTACTATATATATCTATGATAGTATCAGGGTTTGTTGTTGGTGTATAACGCGTTATAAGTACCTAATGGATATTGTGATATGATTAATTTGGAATTCATTATAGGTCAATATTTTTTAATACCATAGATATGTATATAATATGTCTTATACCTAGAAGGACATACCGTCTCCGCTCAGAATCGTTTTTCTTATACAATGATATTATATCATTGAATTCAAATTTAATACCATCCATTATACAATGACCCACTTGTAACCTACTGTACAGCAGAGCGACACCCACTTGCCCACCTTTTTTTTTTCTATGAATGTCAATAAAATGTTATTTGCTGGGTAAAGAAGCTTGAAAATGTAATATCATGCTCCTACTATATTGTTACAATGACATTTGAAAAATATTAAAAATTCTTTGTTACAGTTTTTTTTTTTTTAAAAGCGTTTGAAGTTCAAATCTTGACAAAGAAAGGAAAAATTCTGAAAATTATCTAATTATTTTGAGTTGAGAATTCATAAACATTTTTCTTTTAAATCTAAGATTTGAAAATGTTATACAAGATTCCTCATAAGTTTGTCTACCTTTATCAAAAAGGTTCATATTTTTACAAGATTAGATATTCACTCGATTTCTCTTGTAGCGATTTCGTTTTTTGTTGTAATTCAAAAACGAATAACTATGTAGATGCATGAAAATTTCACTGAATGCTTATATTCTTATTTTCTATGCACCATCAAATTTTAAAACTATTTGGACTCTTTTTGAGCTGTATACGGTCATTGTCAGTTTTCAATTTTTTTGGTTTTAGTTTTTATAATTGTCAATAAAATGTTATTTGTTGGGTAAAAAGCATGAAAATTCAATACAACGCTCCTGATATATTGCTTAAATGGCAGTTGAAAAATATTAAAAATAAATGGGCACAATTTTTTTTATAAGCATTCAAGGTTGGAATTTTGACAAAATGTATCAAATTGAATATTTATTAATTATTTTGTAGTTTTTAATAAAATGTTCAATTTTATAGCTAATGATTGAATATTTAAAACAAGGTTCCACATAAATAGGTTATATATAAATTACCTTATTCACAATAATATCAAATATACTTAGTAATATCATAGGCTGACTGACCATCTTCGCTCAGAATCGTTTTTCTTATACAATGAAATTATATCATTGAATTCAAATTTAACACCATCCATTACAGTGACCCACTTGCCCACCTTTTTTTCTATTCAACTTGTAACTTTAACAATAGTTTATAGTTAAATAGAAAGAAAAATAACTTTTAACTTTATTAAGTTTTCACAGGATTTAATAATAATTTAACTATTATAGCTTTAACGATCGTGATTGACTAAAAAAGTACGATATTAACATTTTCTGTATTTGATTTGGGTTTTCTGGCAATCTATATATTATGTTTCAAGACTTTAGAAGTTATAATTAATTAATAAATATACATGTAATTATTCCATTTTTTCAAAATAATAATGGCTAAAATAATTTAAATGTTAATCTATATTTAGGTATATTTTATACTTTTATAATAGTCATAAATTAAATAGTGCGTAATATTATAATAACTTTAGTATCTATGCATTTATACAATTATTGTGGTTTTTGAAAAATAAATTAGGTGGTTTTTACTTAATTTTAAGTGCTTTTTAACACAAGAACTACAAAATCCAAATTCTATTCATAAGACATAAGACATTTTAAGAAGGTATTTTGTAGTTTTTACATTTTTACTTTCCCACATTTTTTAAGTTATTTTTCTTTTTTTTTTTAAAGGTAAGCAAAAAAAAATCCCTACCCTTATCTTAATACTTAATGTAGATATAAATTCTTGTAATATAACATATATGTAACATAAATTTATTTCAAATAATTGATTTACATTATAAAATATAATAGGAAAAAACAGCATATTAAAAAAAAATTCTATAAACTAGTTCACTTTGTCTTCTTTTTTTCTTTCTTTTTATCTTCTTTATACTCATCGTAGGTTAGGTTATTCTCAATTTTCTTAACCTTCTTTACTTTTTGCCATTTGAGTGGATTGCGAGCATAAATCGGCCAAGGTGGAATTGTCAGCTGAAATTTTTTTTTAAGAAAAAAGTATTTATAGTTTCTAGTTATTGTTATAAAATGAGTATAATCGTTTAATAATCATAATTCCAATATGTATTAAAAATGGGCTTAATGGTTATTGTAATGAAGTACCAGTTCATTATGCTATCGACTCCAAATTTTTGGGTTCAGTATATTTTCCATTAAAGTTATAGTCAGATAACTTGCCACAATGGCGGAAGAAAAATAATTCATAATCGGTAGTTCTCTATATTTCAAATTATTTATTTACAATTGTAAATAAAAATGTCAAAACTGATAGTATGTTATTAGTTTAAAAACAAATAACACCACCACCACCACCTGACAAAAACTTTATAAAATATAAAATATTTCATTATTTGATAATTTTATATGTATGATAATCATTTATACTTAATTTAAAGTATGATATTTAAAGGTTGAATAACTAAATACAGTTAAACAAGAGCTTTGGTTCACTAATACTAAAACTATACTTCATTTTCATACATTTTTTTACTTTTTTTATTGGATTTTCAATTATTATTATCATATTATAATAATAATATGTATTATTAATTCACTTACTAAAGCAGAGACCAAAAATCCAATTAATGTTAGACCAATTGTGATTGAAAATTGCTCTTTTACGTATCCCAAAATAAAACCAATAAACTGTCAAATATATAAACAAATAAAATATTAATATCAATACAATTTAAATTTGTAAGTACCTATAATAAAAACTTACCCCACACATAGTAATAATGGTTCTAAACAGATATTCCGCATGTTTTTGTCCCATAAAGTCCTAAAAAAATATATTAGTCATTAAACATTTTATATTTTTAATTTTAACTAAAATATATTTAGAAAACTTGAATTCAATAATTGAATACAGGTAGGTACCTAATAAAAAGTTTATTTATATTTATAATTTAATACCACACAAATGCCAGAAACATAAAATCTATTGAGTACTACAAAAATAATTTGTTAAAAAATATAATATGTATTTGAAAATAATGTTGGTTTTAATAAAATATTAGAAGAATCTTAGTAAGTATGATTGTACATTTACGTACATAAAAATCAGTGCTTATTTTAATATGCTTGAACAGTTGAACATATTAAGAGTGGCTCTAATTTAAAAAATTGGGGTGAGGGATTGTGAACATTATTGTGTGTTGAGGTGGTGCATCAAATCAAATTTATGAGCACTTCTAAAAATCTTCAAAATATGCCCTGATCCTAATGCTAAGCAATTTTAGAATCTTATATCTTACCATATGCCATTTCCAAATTGATAAATTCTCAAACATTATGGAAAACTCACAAATAAAATAATATACCTCTAGTTAATATATTATACTCCTCAACTAGGTATATATAATAGTTAAAATTTACAAATACATATTACAAATAATACAAATTACAAAATATACGTATTACAACTTTGTATACGACATACGTTATCGTATTGATAATACTATTGACACACGTCATCAACATATTATTCAAAGAACTTGTAATTCATTGTTTGTCATTCTTTGGTTTTCACTTATCAATGCGTTTCGCGCTTTTATCACTATCAGTGTTTATTTATTTTAATTTATTATTTGTTATTTGTTTACACTTTTTTCATTTGAAGCACGAAAAATATGAAATATAAATCGCGATTTGAAGAAATTCAATATCTATTCTCTATTAATTTATAATTAATTACTCAATTTATAATATTATTAATTATACATAGCTTATGAATATTTTTGTAAGTGTAAAAAAAATGTATGTTCTTAATACGATTTAGTCATAATTTTGAAAGCATTTATAAACGGTTTGTTATTATTTTACTTGCGATATACACATATTGATGATTTTTAGGCAACTTTTAAAAGTTGTTCAGTAATATTTCATTCCAAATTAAAGTTATGATTGAAAAATGTAATTGTTATAGTTTTTTTTTGATCTTTCAGTATTGTTTCATTTGGTAGTTTTTTATTTAACTACCTAGTATATTATGTTTAAGACCCAAATTAATTACTGAAGCATAATATTGATCTTTAAATATATTTTAATTTTATGCTAATTAGGTGATGTAACTATTAGTTGATTTTCCAAAAAAAGATGGACACTAGTCGGAATACAGTTGCAGCCATATTAGAAGAAGTCAGAGATGATGTGCATAGTTCAACAAGTCCTTTATCGCAACCAGTCCGTCCAACCAGCACTAATGATGCTAATAAAATTGTCATTTATGTTCAAGACAAAAATCGTTTTGTGAAGACTGAACATGCTGATTTCTTTAATCATGTAAATGATCATCCACCTTCAGAGAACTACAATAATTTACGTCCAATAGCAGCAAGAGTTCAAAGGGTATTTGCATCTTTAGGCACTGTTAGTCAAGGACTACTAGCAGGAGTAGCTTTAGCACAATTATTCTTGGGTGAAGCATCCCAACGATCACCATTAATATTGATGTCATTTTTCTTATTGTCGACTATATGTATGTGCACAGTTCTGGATATTTTTGACTTGTACAGATGTGAGAGCTTCAAACCAAAATATATTTTAGTAAGTTTAAATGATTAATAGTATTTTTAATGTATTTGGTAGGTTATAACTAATAACTATAAGACCAATAAATTTTTGAAGTTCATAATTTTCCCTACATGTATTAGTTTATTCAGATTTTGAAATGTTGAGGTACATGTAATTATTAATAGAATCTAATCTAAATATTCTTTTTTTTGTACAAATTTATGTAGTCAAACCTATCTATTCTTATAGAATGTTTAAAAAATGCTGTGTCTAGAGCACCGGGAGCCCGGTTCGTGATTTTTTTATACTAAAACTTAAAAATTTAGTTAGGTAAAACAGTTGAATGAACAAATAATGATAAACCCGATCTACCCTAAATACTCATTTAAGTTTCATTGTTGATGAATGCTTTCTTACATTTCTTCCAAGTTACATTGCTGTTTTCATAAAACAACTTTCATATAACATCAATAAGTTTTATAATATTCTTATTAAATAAAATCTGACTTGATATCCCAATCTTTATAGTTAATACATACAAAATTGTTGTACAAGTTATTTAATATTGTAGTTATTTATTCTCAAACCAATGTTAAACTAATCATAATACCATTTTGTATTTTTCAGGTATTATTCTTAAGTGTATTAACAGCTTTAGCTGCATTTGCATGTACTACATATGATACAGCTATTATGTCTGGTAGCAAAGTAGAAGCCAAAGTTTCGGAGACTTGGCGAGCATTAAATTGCTGTCGATGTTATGGTGCTGTTCTTGGATGGATTATTATTATTATTATGAAACCTAAAGATCAATTAGCAGAATATTTAAATATTGATTAGTTTTTAATTTAAAAAAAAAAATATTTTTTATTAATTTTTATTTAAAAAAAAAAAAAATGTTAGCATGGAATTTCACTAAACATATTCACTATTTTACATTTGGGTAATACGAACTGTGTTAGGAGAACACTAGTGCTGGAAATTCACAACTGGGAAAATCAAATTCACCAGCTTAAGTTGACAAGTATCCAGATTGATCTATTTACTCTGGGGCGTTTGGTAAATGTATGAAGTTACATGGCCTACAGATATATGACCTCTACATTTATAAGCTACAACAATTCATAACTACAATAATAACTACTTAAAATATTGTTAACAGTAGGTGCCAATAAAATGTTAAGCGTTGGTACTCCAAACCTCTGTTGTATACAGTGGCGCACACTGAAGAGTTCAAGGGTAACAGCTGCTACCCCTGATTTTTTTTTGTATTTGGGTGGGGACCTCATGGCTCCAAAATATTTACATCATAAAAATTATACTACCTATAAAAATATTGAAAATAAACTATTGAATAATTATAAACTATAGCCATTAGCCTATTAGCCAATATAGAGGTAACCGATTCAATATGCTACCCCTATTTGTTTTTGAGTGTGCGCCACTGGTTGTATAAGAAACAGTATTACAACACAGTGGAGATTAATGAATCACCTGTTATATTATATTTAAAATGCTAAATTATTTTATATCATTGTATAAAGCCAAATCACAGTTAAATTGTATATAACAAAAAATTGTATTTTATACACTGACAGAACCAGTTAACCAATATTGTTATTGTATTAGAATAAACTTCTATAAAAAAATCTTCATATAAATAAACTATTCTAAAATTGTATACACAGTAACTTTAAGATTACTGGGACCCCCCAAAAAAACATTTATAATGCACATTTTTTTTTTTGTTAGATGCCAAATTATTATTAATATTTTTTTTCTAACTAAATGTATAATCAAAATCATAATCAAAATTATTTTTTAAAATAATTGTTATTATTCAATGTAGTGTAATAAAAATAAACTTAATGTACAAATATTTATATGCCTTGTGTATAGAGTTATGTATATTGTCCTGAATCAATAAAAATCAGGAATTTATTTTTGTTAAAATTAAAAATAATTTTTTAATATTTATAATAAATGTCATGTATACTTACTAGTAACTACAAAAATATTATGTTCATGTTAATTTTTACTTGTCATTTTATGGACAAAATAAATATTATAGTTACTTAATTTATTAATGTGTTTTGTAGACACTGATTACGTTAATTTTGCATTAATTGAGTCATAAAGTATGCAATACTTGTATCCAGTGGCGCCGAAGTTTTTAAAATGTGGTCGGGCAATTTTAAAACTTCCCGGCCTCAAAATCTTAATTATTTAATATAGAGGTACCCTAATATAAATTTATTCATAATCACAGTTTAAATTTACTCATGCTTATAATAAAGTTATGATGTAAATTAAATATGGCCGGCTGGCCACATTTTTCAAAAGAGGTCGGGCCACGGCCCGACGTCAGCATGGACTCGGCGCCACTCCTTGTATCTAAATTGTATTAAAATTTAAAGATCCAATTGTTTACTTTAAATAAGATACAATTCATAAATACTGAGTAAAAATTATTTGATACCAAATTAAAATTGATCTTTGGTAACTAATTGAGTTTTTATGTATCTATACAACTTAATTTATATGTAAATTTGTCTATGATGTATGTTTCAATTGAATACATTTAACACCATGAAAATATTGGATTATTTGTTCAACTTTTATTGACTGACTTTTTTAATTTTTTAAATATTGTTCATTATTCAATTATTTATTAATTTTATTATTTCCTTCTACAATTATGTAAAATCTCTAGTCAAAGAAACATTACACCTGTACTCACTGAAAATGCAAACAATCAATTATAATATGACCATTAATATACAAGTCCTCACCTGTTGTATTTTCCATATACAACTGCTATTATACTACTACATTAAAAACAATGGAAGGTAAATGAGTTGCTAGTTTTAAACAGATAGGCAGAGGCAGACTGGTCCAGGGTGCTATAAACCAGGTAGAATTCCGGGCCCCATTCGTATTTATAATACAGGCCCCGATTACCTTTTTCGAGCCCTTTCTTAAATTTAATTCTTGTTGTAATGAAGAACTTTTTCTTAATTTTAGTAAGTTTAAAACAATTGTAAGGGCCCCTAATTAATTTTGCACCTTGGATCAAAAGTAGCCAGTCCGCCCCATGCAGATAGGTACACATATTTGTAAATTTCCATATAAATAATTATAGAGCCCGGATTTATATGCATTTGCATGTTTTTTCTGAACAGTCCAAAAATTGCTAGGTAAGCTACAAATTTGATTTGTAGTCAATAGATCCGAAATATGAAGTTTTATTTTGCATATTTTGTTATTTTATGACGTGTACTGCATATTTCTTTATTTTGCGATTTTTTATTTTTATATATTTAAGATAAATATCAGAATAACTGGTCAACTAGGTATTAATTATTCTTTATTATAATTTATAAAATCAATTTTCATATGCGTGTGAAATAAAATAATATCGTTTTCAAATTTCCCACTCATATCGATGACTTCATTTTGATAAATTTTTATTTTCGTTGGTTCAAAAACTAGATGTTCGTTCAACACACGAATCTTTCTTTTTATCGTAAAATATGAATGTCTTTATAAAACGGACCGAATGTGGCACCATAATAATAGCCGTCAGTGACTGATACAGTATTATGCATAAAGCATAATTTTCTTCTTCTAGAATAATAATATGGATGATTATATTTCATTATTTTGAAGAAACATAGATACATTCCTGGCCACTTTGGTATATAGATAATATAAAAACCAATGGGCCGTGGCCCACGGGGCCACCTGTAATTCTCTTGAAACAACCTTGATTATTATTATAGATTATGATTTATAATCTATAATAATAATTATAGATCTATAATTTATACTAGATTTTATCTATTCTGTGCCTCTGTGGTAGAACGGGATGGGGGCAGTTGAACCACGGCCGGCGTTCCCAATTTGATTTTTTCTTCCAGGAACGTCGACAATGACGTCAACTACCGGTAGCGCGGGGCTAGTCCGTGGTTTGGCCGTACATTTCGTGGGTCGGTGCGGTGAAGTGGCGGTACAACGTCGCCCGCCCGCCAGAACAGCGAAGTGAGCGAGTGGACTGTGGAGTCCTAGTCTACGGAAGCCGCACCCAATTTTTATCACTTCATGCCGTGCGCGTATCACTACAGAATAATTTTTTTTTATTATTATTATTAATTCGATAAAAAAAAAAAAAAAATAGCGAGTGTGAGAGAGAAAGAGAAGAGAGTAAGAGTAAAAGCGAATTAAGAAAATCGCGTCTTCTCGTTACCCAAATAATAATATGTGCAGTGCGCCGTCTTAGCAGAAAACTTTGTGCAAGTCCGCGCGGTCGTCCGTCCCGGTAAGTTGAGTTTGGCATTCGGGTGCGCGAGCGTGGTGTCGGCCGTGAAACTCGGTGTATCGCAAGTGCGTGAGCGACGTGAATGTGCCTTACAGAAACATCGGGCACTCGGCCGGACTGAATAGTGTCATAAAACACACGGACAAGGGTGAGCGATAGTTACTAACAGTTAAAGTAGTTATAACAAGGGTATGGCTGGGTAGCTAGAAGTTAGAACGTAGACATTGTGCACTACCCGGGTGATAAGGAAAGTGATCGGTGATCGTATGGCGGTCCGACAGCGGTCTGTAAAATGCATACCGACGATTGTGGTTTCGTTAATGTCGTCGGGACGCCCTTGCCCCTTGTAGTCACTAACAGTCCCTGTGCACCAAACGCATGTACACATTGTATGATAGAATTTCATTATACTAGAACCTAACAATATTATGTAAGCTATCAAATATTGTGCCCAACTCTTTAAAACTTAAAATTTAATCTCACCGATAGAAAAACTTCTTAGGCGTTCCTCCATTAGTCATTAGTATGTGTACTTTTACAATATAATGAATTATTTGCTACTGTGCTAAATAGAATACTTAATTTCCATTAGGTTATTAACGTTTTATGAATAAGTATTAATTACAATAATTTTAGAATTATATTTTAGTTGCTGATAGTTACCTATCTTATTAATATTGTTGAATTACCTATTTCATTTTAACAAAATAATTTAGGTATACTAAAAGTTTACGTTATAGGTGTATAAACATTTAAAAATGATTTATTCAACAGAAATATTTTAATTATTTATATAGATAGGTAGTTTTAAGTTCTATTGATAACAATTTATAAATAATTAAAGGATAATTATATTGATGTAGGTTCTTAATAATAGACTAAGTATTAATTTTTCTATCTAGTTTGTAACTCGTAACTTAACAGTGTATAGGTTAATACAAGTTAAAAGTAGTTATTAGTATTATATTATTTAAAAGATACTACACGCATTCAGTCATATTATCATATTTTCGAATATTTAATAATAAATAGGTAGGTAATAGGTACATAAGAAAGATTGTTTACAATAATAATGTATGTTTTAGAAAAATCAAGTTTGCCTTAAGTTTATTTTTAAATTTTAAGGTACATTATTGTATTGAATTTTACTAGATCAACTAGTGACACAAATGGTCTTAAACCTTGTCTTAAATTTGACATTATGTACCTAATAGGTATCTATGTTGTTACCTTTTAAAGTGCAAATTGTTTTTTTTTTTTTAAGGAGACAGCTTATTTTAGGTACCAACTACCAATATTATAACTTATTAATAGATAATTATTTTAACTATGTAAAAATATAAGGTGAAAATTCTTATGAAAATTTGTCTATTCAATATTAACTCTTTCTTCTTGAACAGTATTTTATAATTGAGTAATTTTATGTAAATATAGAAGAAGATATAAAATAAGGTATGATAAAGGCATAATATTGGTTTCATCAATCATACTTCAATACTTCATTGTCACTTTTTGTGGCAAT